GGGAATAATTCACACAATTATAATCGAATATTACCGAAAAATCCCGAAATATAAAATTGAATTTAATTTCTCGATATGAAGTGAACGTCTACGATCCAAAAAATACAGATCTGTATTTAAAAATTCAAAGATTATGGTGGCCCAAGTCAGATGACACCCTGCATAAAAGATTCATGGATATATTCTGAGAGCCCACATCAAGTGCCAGTAGCAAAATGTGGACAGATGTGGGATTTTTTGGTTTTTCCTGTATATCTCCAGAACCAAAACAGCAAAAGAACTATATATAGTTCTTCAGTTTTATCGGTATATACCTCACCTTTGTCGAAGTTTCTTTTTATGATTGTGCTGTTTCACGGTCCCCGTATTTTCAATTCCACCCATTATGTTATTTACTGCTTCGCCGACCACCATTTTGTCTCTGAAATAAAAGAATTACACTCTTAATTTCATAATTTCACAATATCTAGGTATATAGAATAATAGTCATTTCATATAAATTCTCAAAGTCAACAAATATTTCATACAATGTATAGATTTTTATTTAACAAGGAAAATATAACAATCATCTTCGGGTGAACAATCGAAACGTCGTGAAGTAACTTGGTTTGGAATCTTTTCATTTTAGATTTTTTATTTTCATTTCTTTTTAATAATTTTTTCAGTTATAGTTCAATTTTTTTTGGTTGTTGCTTTCACGTTATTTCATTGTAATTTCAGTTTTTTGATTAATAAAGTTGTTATTTTTCAGCTAATCTTTTTAATTTTTTACAGATTCTTTCAGGGATTTCAAATCAATTTATATCATATTAGACAATGTAAGTTCGAACTGATGAAATACACCACCAATACGCCAATTGTCCTCTACGAATTCAAATTTAACCAAAGCACTGCTGAAACAGCCCAAAAATTAACCAGGCATTTGCAATGATTAGTGTTAATGAAAGCACTGTTCGACGCTGGTGTTCCGGAGATTTTAGCCTCGAAGACGAGCCGCGAAGTGGTCAACCTACAGTAATCGAGGACGACGATTTGGGGAACCTGGTGGAGACTGAACCACCACAACCGTGTTAGGAATCACACGTTAAAAGGTAAGACCTCGGTAATCCTTAGCTCGCACAAGTTTCGACTTCTGAGGGTTGTCGTTCGTAGGGGTGCGACAGCTGGTTAACGGAAAAACATATTTTAAACAGGTTTAAACAGACTGAGGAACTGGGCGTTAGCTCCCATGCGATTTTTGATGGTCTTTAACGTATCGGAAAGGTGACAAAAGTTCGAAAAGTATGTGCCCCACGTATGATGAGAAGTGGATCCTCTCCACCCATACCCAAAACACATGAAAAAAAAATGGTTACCGTATGGTGGTCAGCGGCTGGTGTGATTTACTATAATTTTCTGCAACCGGGCCAAACCATCACAGCAGTGTCCTATTGTTGTAAACCATACCCGAAAGAAAATAACGCCGGGCGCCCCTGGTAGCCATAAACCAATGGTGACGTAGCTAAGAGCGCGCGAATGTACGATGATTCCACGCCACTCTAGAAGCAGCGAGAATAATTCTACCGATCTCGACGGAACTTCGGCAAAATGTCTACTGCATTAGATATAAAAACGATAGCCGCGAACATATCGACACAGTCAAGTGGACGTTACAGTGCAGTACGTGAAGTGATCTAATAAGGCGATAGACATTCAAATAATAGTTGAAGTTTTAGTTGAAGTGTTTGTTGTATTTAAAATGAATTAAAGTTAAGTTTGATTATTCAGTGTAGTCAATTATTGGTCAACTGACGGGGAACATTTGTTATCGGAAGTGGAATAATTGACTGAAATTTTTCTGTTTTATGGTGAAAACAAGAAGTGTCGATTACGACGGAATGGAAAAAGCTTGAGAAAATGTTCGAGGCTTTGTAAGCCAGCCTGGCAGAGAATGAAAAATACAGAAGAGAAGAAGCTGAACGCAGAAGAGAGGAAGATGAATGCAGAAGAGAGGAAAATGAACGCAGAAGAGAGAAAAAGGATTACGCCGAAACCAAGATCGTGAGTTACTACTAGGTATGCTGGAAAAACAAGAAAGAAACAGAGAGGAATATCGTAAATTATTGGTGAATATTCAAAAGAAACAAGAAAAAGACAATTAGATGTATCTTCATTTATTTTAAGATTTGAAATCTTCCCAACAAGGGGAGATACAAGAATTGATTCAGGAAGAATTTGAAAAAGTATTTCAGGAAACAAAGGAGGGATTGGAACAAATAGTCGATGAGAAGTTTGATGGGGTTGAAAGAAAACTTGAAGAGGAGCTTGAAGGAGTCGGAAGGAAATTTGAAAAGAAGCTTGAAGGAGTCGAAAAAAATTAAAGAGGTTTTTCCGGAAACTTCAGACAAAAAATCACGGAAACGCAGACAGACTCCCAGATAGATGCAAATTTTGCCAACGCCAGGAGGACAAGAATACCCAGCTACCAGAAGAAAAACTTTCCACCAGACGTGATAAGGTAGCGGGCAGACTCCTTTATGGACAGCTCTGATAGGGAGATAAGCTCCCCTACCTCCCGCCGCTTCGGGTTCCCTCTGACCCGGAGGGTAGCAACCTGTAAGAGTCCCTAGTCCAGGGATATGGACAGCCAATTTGAGGAATCACCTGACCATGGTGTGGTACGGTCGTTAACAGCCTCTGAGGGTGACACTACCTTCCTGACGAGGCAAGACATCATCGTAGCGCAGAAGGAGGATCCCGTCTTGAAAACTGTACGAGAACGGATTGCCGAAGGAGTGAGGCCGGAATGGCAAGAGATTTCCAAGCACGGCCAGCCGGAAAAGGGGTAACTGGCTCCATGAGCATTCGAGATGATCTACTCACTCGGAAATGGGAGAGCCCGGATGGAAGAACCCACAGATACCAGATGATTCTTCCTAAGACGTGTATCCCAAGTATTCTTGAAGAGCTCCACGATGGTCGCATTGGAGTGCATTTCGGAGTAAATAGAACTCTAGTGAGAGTGCGCGAGAGATACTATTGGGTCAATTGCCGTCGAGACGTGGAAGAGTGGTGTAAGCGCTGTGTTCTATGCTCTTCGAGAAAGGGTTCGAAGACAAGGCAAAGAGGAAAGTTGAAGCAGAATCTCAGTGGGTGCCTTTTCAAGAGAATCGCAGTCGACATTTTGGGACCACTCCCTATAACCACATCCGGTAACAAGTACCTTATGGTTGTGATGGACTAATTTTCCAAATGGCCTGAAGTAGTAACCTTACCCAACCAAGAGGCTAAAACGGTGGCAGAAGCCCTGTTGCAGAACGTAATTGCCAGACAGGGAGTACCCCAAGAACTACACTCGGATCAGGGCCGCAACTTCGAATCGGATTTATGGAAGGCGTGTCCTTACTAACATAGTTAGTAACATAGTTAGTGTCTTTAGTAACTAGGTTAGTAAAGACACGCCCGAAGAAGCCATTGTATGACAAAACACGTGTTGCGTTTTTGTAAAACTGTTAAGTGAAAATCTCACAATAAAGTTGTTTTTGAATACGTTACTCCAATAAAACTCGGAACCCTGTATGTTGGTAAACGATTTAAAAAATCCCTAGACAATGACATCTTAAACTTTTCGATAACTTCACCTCCTTCACCTCAAACTTCTAATTGAAGTTCCATGTGACATACACCATATATATCTCTAGTTTGAAAAAAAAAATTTAGTGTTTCTATTTTGTATGAAACCTTTGTAAGGAGGCTTTTTCCACTATTATTTAATATTGGTATGAGTTCAGTACTTTTATTGAACTCATATAGAAATCAAAAACATATGTATGTTAAAAAATATATAATTTTCATCAACCTTGTTTCATTTTCTTGGAAAAACTTGCAATGACATATGAGATCATCACAGTAAAGAGTTGAAGATTCCCAATAGATGGAAGAAGGCAGGTTATATTTGGAATCATTATGCTTAATATCAAGAGCATAATGTTGAAATCAACGAAAATTTCGATAGATTTTTAGAGAATACAACCAGCAGTATGTAACAAAGAAATACTCAATATTAAAGAGTTCAATCCCCACAGCCCACTCACCCGTTTCATATAACATTTTGAGTGGGTGGGGAAGACATTTTGTTAAAAAATGTACTTAAAAAATGAATACCATATTTTCAATACATTCTATTTCCACTGTGGTTAACTAGTATTTATGTGCAAAATGTTATAAACAGACTGACAACAAATGATCTAGAATAGTAAAAATGTCTTCTAACCTAATTATAAACCTTATCCTATAAATAAAACATTTTGACATAACATGAGATAAGGAAATGATAATCAAATATTATATCTGATAAGACGTACGCCATTCGTAAATCTAAAAATTCCTTAAGATATGCTTGAATGGTAAATGCGTTTTTACATCTAGTAGGCTTACCAATTTTATTCGGCTAAACCAACAAAAAAGTTACAATAAGAAGGGATATCGTAACCCTTAATATACCAGAGCACTATGCCTTACGTACACTTGTATGATGTCAATTATTTCACTTCACATTATTTAAATTATCAGTGGGTATGATGATTATTCGTCATTTTACAAATATCTAAATGTCTAGCAGTCGCCATCTTACTTAATTTAAAAATAGTTCGGTTCGGATTCAGGGTTTCATGCTGTTCGGGAGTACAGGAGGAATGTGCGACGTACTTAATTTGTATTTTTCCTTTTTTTTGTAACTGAGAGACCCCTAAGTGAAACCTTCCTCAGAATTTCTTCTTAACCAACATTAGCAAATACTCTGTTTTTTCACTATACAAACTTTCTTAGATAAACATCGCTCACATTCAAACGAGGTAGAACCTGTGCTCAGAAGCATTTTACTTAATATTATAAATTTGAAAGGCAAGCTGAATAACGAAAATAAAATATAATTTTGGAAAAAGCAGGACAAAATATAACTGTGAAAACCCAAATATACATTGCAGATTGTTTTGCAGACAAGGCAAAAACTGAAAATAAGAAGTGACTGTTAACACGACTCACGGGAAATTAAAGTGAAAATGTCTTTGAATAGGTACTTATTGAATATCGCCTATATAGGTAAGCCATTTAGGTAAGTCTATCCGATTCAGTTGAAGATATAATATTTCAATAGGTATTTTCTTTAGGGGAGCGCAACTTCAAGTAAAAAGGGAATCCTGCCAACCTGATCCTTTAACTGTTCAAGGCAGACTAGAAATGGCGTTGAAAGTATTGAATCCTTGCAACGAGCCTATCGTAGTTTTATCAAGCAGGTAAATATTTATGAATAATGTATATAGGTGAGGATATAAATCATTTCTCAGTAATGAATATAAATATTTTTTTTAACTTCAGAGGAACAATTCAATGTATTGTATAATTCTGCATAGGATGTTGATATATTCAGATTTGCCTAATGTCTTTCGTTCACAATTTAAATACTTTATTTGTTTGTAACTGTATTCTGTCCATCTAAGCAATAGAGTGCTCCAAAACATTATCGTGTATTGTGCACGTGATCTCCCAGACAAGGCAGCTTGTACAGAGTCGCACTAAGGAACGACCGATTTTTTTAATAATATGCGGCTGGGTATAGGAAAGTTTTATAGGTGGAGTGTAGGGACACAAATTAACAGTTTCTTCAGCCGTATCAGTACTTGACATTTTAAATATTTTAAACCTTAAAATACTGGCGTAAGGATTTTTGTTTATTTTACTCAATAGATGCAAAAGTGCGTGGTGATCGTGGTCTATTTTTGTTTGGGTTATTTTTTTGGTGGATGGATAGAGTTGTCATAAGTAACATTGTTGGTCTATGTGTGTCAATTGATATATTCAAATATTGACAGGAAAAGAAAAAACAAAAGGACAAATAAAATAAACATACATCTGTGCATATAATATATAATTAGCACATTGCATAATATACAGTAGTCAACTTCAAAAAACTATTGTATTTTTGAAACTCTTGGTTGAAACATACCAGCAAAAGTATGTGCTTGAATGTTTGTTCTTCTAACTTTTTTTAGAACTGACTCTGGAGTTCATGCCATTAATTCTACTTGTCATGTAGACCTTTATCGCAGGAACGGAGTGAACTATGAACCAAAATCAGTAACTTTTTGTCTTAATAAATATTTTTCGGCACATGATGTACCAATTCGAATATTGAAAACTTATATTGTGCCAGAAACCTTTCACTGTCGATACAATGCTATATCCAGGACTTATTTATATCGTTTAATAATAAGCAAAGATAATGATACCTGTTCGAGAAGCAACAATCATTTCAATTATATTCCGATAGAAGAGTGGGAAAGGAGCCTGTTTCTTTGGTATGAAGCATTATCAACATACTTTTAAATTTATTTATGATATTGATGTGTTTTAGTACAGACAAATTTGATACGGCACTAATGAAGGAAACTGCAAAATTATTTGAAGGGTACCATGATTATAGATCCTTCATGGGAAAAGTATTAGATAGGCAAAAGATGACAAGAAGAGCTATAGAATACATAAAAATTATAAATAAAGAAAAGACAGGTTACAGTCATTATAGTTGGCCTACCTTAATTGATGGACCAAATCCTCAAAATTATGTTTATTTAGATATTTACATGAAATCTGCAGGATTTTTATACAAACAGGTGAGCATATCCTAATTTATATCATGAAAAGAAAATATTTGTTTGTGATGAATGAACTCAAAAACTACTTGAGAGTGTTGGTATACATTTAGAATCAAGGGTTCAATTTTTGAACGTACTTTTGTGTGTATCCTATATAGCTAAAAATAATTTTGCGCCTATGCTCTCAACCGATTATAAAAATTATTTCACCTCTAGGACTGTACATTATCAGCGTATTTCGTTAAAAAAAATAGAGATTCCTATGAAAAAAGGGGAATGGTGCACGAATTGCTAACCTTGAAATTACATGAAGAATCACTGCCTCCCAATTCCAATTACTTGCTTTGGTTCATATAGAGCATGGCTTAATCTATATGTAACAATAGCTTTTCAAAGTTTTCAGTTTATAAAAAGTTTATAAAGAAAGACGAATGTTACAGATAAATTCGGTTTTGCACATTTGAATTCATTAGGCTGAATTTTTTATTGCATTCATTCCTATTTTTCTTAGAAAATGGGGCGAACTGCAGACACGTGTTTCTGGCTATTGGCCTCATCAGCGCGGTGCAGCCAAGTGTAAGTATACGCAACACTTGGTTGCCGAAAACAGGAAACAACACATACGAACGGAGTCTCCAACAGGAGCCTACCGCACATTCGTTGTTCTAGGTAGGAGACCTATAATTTCTGGAATTCACCCAACATTACCTGTGTAACTTCGGGGTCCAAGATATAAATATAAAAAAGGGTTTAATCCATTGTGTATGATTCAAATCAATGAAGAGGAGAATTCACGGAACAGCACTCTAGAAAATGGTGGGGCAAACCGCAGACACGTGTTTCTGGCTATTGGCCTCATCAGCGCGGTGCAGCCAAGTGCAAAGATGGGCAACACTTGGAATAATAAATATGTATTTAGTACCCAAACAAGTCAAAATAAAAGTAATTAGAGGTAGTTTTTTGATGTTTTTTCAGGTTAGTAACTGGTGTGACAATCACTTATTGTCGGAAACTATCAGAAATCAGAAATTCGCATTTATTTGCTGAACATAGTTTTGTAATCACAGGAATAGACCGTATCAAATAAGAATTTCGTTTTCAGCACATTTACTTTTTCTGAGTTGGTTACTCCAAGTATTTGTCATTAGTGTCAATTTACAAACATTGTTGATGTATATATTTCAAAAATATGGTTATAATAAAAAAGAAAGTAATACAAATCATGAAATTATGAAACAACAAAAAAGAAAGTTGTTAGACAGTTACTCAAAGCACTCAAAGTTTGAATATAGTCCCGAACCACTTACTCTAGTAGTTTGTGATATAGTCCAAAGTTGCCTGCCTGCTTGCCAAATAAAACTTTTCATATGTACGATAGATGGCGCAGTGATTTTCTCAAAATGCGTTCTGGTTTAACCAAAGGCGTTTTCTGGTTTCTGGTGCTCGTGTATTCAAAACGTATTCGTCTGTAATTCAAATACATTCATTCTGGCGTTGAAACGATGACGTCACATCAACTACGATTTGAAACGTATTCATCATGATGATTCAAAACTAGCGTAAGGTTGATTTTGAAACGGAATTTGACATTACGTTACCTCAGTTGTCAGTTTGTGCTTTATTTCGATCGTCATAGTTTATAAAGTGCTGAAAACTTTTCATAAAATACGTTGTAAGGATGTACAAAATAAAGCTGGGAAATTATTACTTGCACAAATCCGTTTTTATTATTGAATTTGACATATGATACAAATTGAATCATGCCATTCTGGCGAATCTTATTATTAATGACGTAACTACGAATCGCTTTTGAATACACGCTCGAATACGATTAGACGCCAGAAAACACCTTAGGTATCCAAGACTATTTCGCAGTGTTTAGGATGTTTTGCTTCTACGCATCGTGTCCTGCGCAGTTTTCAAACATTTTCAGATGTTAGAACTAAAGAAACCTAATCGGTAATGTAGTGTAACCAGAACAAACCATATGTCTTGGTTATTGTACGTTTTCCCATTTTCCCCATTTTCAGATGTTTCCATAACGGTTAATTCTTGTTAATATAGGTATAAGAATAACTTCATATTCCATATTTCCATATAGGTACCAATTTTTTCAAATGTTCAATCAAAAAAATTGGTAATTTTTATATAATATATTCAAATAATAAATTTGTTAACAACTAGAAAAACAATGAGTTTAATTCCGCCTTCGACCAGATATTCTTCTCCCGATAATTTATCTAGTTGAAGGTAGATTTTTCATTTCCGTTTTTAGACGTCCGATCGTCAAACTTTCATAGCTTTTTTTTTTCAAACAAAAAAATTTATAAAACAAACCTGGTATGGTTGGGAACGTAACGAATACGAATGTTTATAAGCAGAATATGGAACCCCTGATGTAAAATAAATCAATTGAACACACTTTCTTACTTTTAGTCTTAGTCATCTACTGATAATAGTTTGCGAAACGCGATTCGAGAAACAGTAATTTTGTTCCTGGTATGGAAAAAGTGTGTTCATCTCTCGAAGACCTTTATTGATATTTTATTATCGAAATATTTCACTCCCAACAGTATGATACACAAACAGAAATATTTTTAAAAAATATGGGACAATCATTATTTGAAAAACAATTCACATTTCCAAATATTGAATTTACAAACTTCAATGAACTACTCATAGATATAATATATATTTACAACTACTACGATGGACAAGACAGAGAGTTCGAATCTTTGATGTTCTGTGCTTATTGAACATTACTAGGGATATTTATTTAGTATAGTTTAGATTGGCAACATTGGAACAACCAGAAAGTTCTTTTAAGCTTTGAGTTCAATGAGCATCACTAGTCTAGTTTTACGAAGGAAGTTGTAAATTGATTATACTTTCTTCAATATTTTGTGCAACGACATCAGAATCAGCAAAAACGCAAGTAATTATTTTTTGTTATTATTTATGTAGTCAGTGGTCCTTATTGAATAGTTGGATGATTTTTTATTTGGACACGTTTCTTAACCTAGAAGAGGCCGGTGGACTTGGAGGGAAACATTGCAAAATGGCTTCCAAGTAAAGCCGTTGGGAAGGTATTTAGAGTAAAGCATTTTTTTTCTATACAGGTCCGAAGGACGGTGGCGTCGCTGGTTGCGGTAGCACAAGGTAAAGTCACAATTAGAGATATTAAGTTTATGCTGGAAATTCCGTCACGTCATTCTTGGTGCCCCCAGATAAAAACGTTGCCGGCACACGGTTTATATTTGTGCGAAGTCGAGTACGCTAGGGAGGACTTGGACACTTTTAGGAGCACAGCAGAGATTTAATTTTCGTTTCAGGATGGTTGGGTCTAGAGTGTATGTAGGCGGGCTGCCCTATGGGACCACAGAGCGGGACCTGGAGCGTTTTTTTAGAGGTTACGGCAGGATGAGGGACGTTCTCATCAAAAACGGATACGGGTTTGTTGAGTTTGACGATTATAGAGATGCAGATGATGCTGTGTATGAATTAAACGGTAAAAAACTTTTAGGGGAGCGTGTGACCGTGGAAAGAGCCCGAGGGACACCCAGAGGTCGAGATCAGTGGTCCACCAGTAGCAGCAGCAGCAGCCGCAATAATGACCACCGCTCCCATGAAAGGTATGGGCCACCTACCCGCACTAACTACCGATTGGTTGTTGAGAATCTGTCATCCCGCATCAGTTGGCAAGATTTGAAAGATTATATGCGCCAGGCCGGTGAAGTTACCTATGCTGATGCCCACAAACAGCATCGCAATGAGGGTGTGGTAGAATTTGCTTCGTACTCTGACATGAAAACTGCTATTGAGAAACTCGATGACACTGAGTTGAATGGCAGACGAATCCGTCTCGTAGAAGACAAGAAAACAAAAAGTAGGCGCTCAACTTCGTATAGCAGCCGCAGTAGATCACGCAGTCGTTCTCCCAGACGTTCCAGGTCGCGTAGTCGCTCCAGGCGCAGTTCCCATTCCAAGAGCAAGTCTAGGTCTCGTTCAGGTAGTGCTAAGGCAGACCGCGAAAAGTCTAAATCAAGGTCACGTTCAAGGTCGAACTCTCGTAAGAAGTCAAATGATCGCTCCAGATCAAACTCTAGAAAAAAGTCTGTTGAACGCTCCCGCTCTAGGTCTCATTCACCAACACCTGACAAGCGTTCCAAGTCACGTGAGGAATCCAAAGATAGATCCAGATCCAGGTCACGTTCTGCTAGCAAAGGTAGAAGCAAGTCTAGAAGTAGGTCTCCTTCAGCAAACTAAGTGTAGAACTATTTTAAATCCAACCGAATCCAGTTTTGTGTTTAACAGTAGTATAAAACGGACATTTTAAGATTTATAATTAGTGAACTCAAACTCAATTAAATCTTCAATTCAACATTTTGTTAAATTATTATTGGTGTAAAGAATTATTTTTCTCAGAAAGGGTTTGTTTTTTTTTTTATTAAATGATGACCTTCAAACATTTCATGTGTTTTGTACTATACTGTGAAAACTAAATAGTTAAGTCTCTTATGCAACAGCCTATTCACTCTCTTAAATATGAGTTTCTCAGAGTCCATCAAGCGGCAAAAAGAGAGATTGCAAAAAACTGTCACTTTTGTTAAATATGTAGATGGGAGAATTTTCAAAGAAATTAAAGATGAACATCCTCAGTTTATTGGGAAGCAGTATGGTTTTGTGGTAGATGAAATGCCTGATAAAGTTCCTGCTAAAGTAATAGATAATATTTATTTAGGTTCCCAGGATTGTTGTGAAATAGAAGTATTGGATAAGTTCAATATCAAGTTTGTTTTGAGTATAGGAGTGGAAGCTCCTATCAAATATGATGATATAACCTATAAATTTATTGAATGCATGGATTTGCCAGAAACAAACCTTACTCCAATTTTAAGAGAGTGTATACCATTTATAGAATATGCTGTGAAACAGCATCATAATATTCTAGTTCATTGTAATGCAGGTGTTAGTCGTTCTTCATCTGTTGTAATAGGTTATCTCTTGATTGATAGAAAATATAGTTATTTACAAGCATACAATGTTGTTAAAACAGCAAGAAGTTGTATTAATCCCAATGCTGGTTTTGAAAAACAATTGCAACATTTAGGTAGGTAGTTTTGGTTCAAATAATTTTAAAGTTAGAAGTTAATTCCGGTAGTAATTGAAATGATTGTTTTGCGGTAAATATGTTTTTCTGTATTTACAACAATAAAGTTTTATATCCAATATGTACTTTTTAATATGCTACTGATTTATTTTTTCTAATATGCTACTGATTTTCTTTTTGTGGCTAGTTTTGAAAAGCAAACTATCAGCCAATTGTTATTTTTTGTGACTGAGTACATCTTACCTGTTGACATAGTTTCTGAAATATTTAAAAACAAAATTAACTCAATTAGATGAAGGAATATTTTATGTACAAAAATAGATCAGTTTTTTGAAACTACAATAAACAATTCCACAAAGCCCAAGCTGTCCGTGGTATCGAGTTTATGTATTTTTGATCTTTAAACATTATTCTAAGAGGTGTACATAAATATTGGAAAACTTGTAGTTACCAAATTACTAAATGCTAACTCATTAATAAGAAGGTGTAACTCTTTAAAAATGTAATAATATTGTAACTAGTATAATACCCCAATAATCTAAATTACATATATTTACACACATCCATATGCACGATAGAAATGTTTCCCTAAAAAATAAAAACAAATACAATCATTCACGATAATACAATAATTTACTGATGAACATATTATCATACAAATAAATTTCAGATAAAAAGTTATGTGAAGAAACATTGAATACATATTCATTATTCGAACAATTGTAGAATAGTTCTTTCTATGGAAAGTATAAAATGCTGTACTTTTTTTTTAAATTGAAAAAGACAATTTCTCTTGGTAGGTAATTGAAAAATCGTGGTGCTAAGGATGCTTGGCATTTTTGACCTATCGTTTTCCTTGCAATTGGAATTTTGAGCTTGTTGGAGTCCTTTGCTCTTGTGAGATATCTATGCGATATTTAATCGAGCACATTAGTTTTTTGTGTTTGAACAAATAGATGACTGACTTGAAAAAAGTATAATAGACCAGACGAATAGGTTCTTTTTTTTATGCTGGAGAAGTCTAACGTCAAAGCTTTTTTCTCATTTAGATACTTATTTTAAATTACTTCAACAAGCAATTTTTATTAAGAAAATTCAGATATAAACAATATGTTTCTTTTTTATTGTCAAATTGTGAGCTAATTGAAATTAATTGACATAGGAACATAATCAAATTGAAGAGGGCAATTTTCATGATATAAATGACTTATGATGTAAAAATGTAAAGAGTTCATGATATTTTCAGAGGAGTTGTTGATGAGCTGAACATACTTTAATACTATTTCGTGGCGTATTGAGCTTGCATTATACATTTGAGGTGAACAAGTTATCAAGTAATGTTCGGTATGAAAGTTTTAGATATCAATACAATGAATTTTTTTAATTATTTGCCAATAGTTTCTTCAGGAGTTTCACACTTTATTTGTATGAAGATTGAGAAGTAGAAAGCCTAAATGCTTTTTTCCATTTCCAAAGAAATTTTGTGTGACTCCATAAGTGGCAAATACCTCTGCTGAGGTATCCAACAGAGTGTTGGAAATAATCGATAGTATTAAGGTATTTTAATACTTTAGGACGAATTTGCATTTGTTATAGATATGAAAATTGCTCTCAAAAGTTTCGGTTTGAAGCAAAACGAAACAAGTGAACTGATGACACCTTTTTTATATATTCAAAAAAATTAATATTACTGGAGTTTTATCCCAACACCTAACCGTTATTTTGAACACCTTGACACGTGTTTCAATCACCAAGTGATCATCTTCAAGAGGAAGATCAATTTTCCTCCAGTAATATTCATTACTACACCAAAGGTTCCAAACAGTGTATCACAAATATTCAAAAAACGGCAGGACTTTAGTATTTGGGATAACGCCCACCAGGGGGAGTGGCATATCAATCGAAAGGGGACGATGAGAGGAACACAATGGTATGGGTTTCATCGCGAGGAAATGACAAAATATTTTTTATTCATATTAATCTATTACATATATTTTGGTTTGAACTGACTTTTTATACATTTAATGAGTTCTAAGAAGGGATCCAACTTATTGTGACGGACTTCCCGACGCCAGAGATATTCGCACATGTGCATGGCCAGGTCATCACCACTGTAACCACGCTCCTCCAGGTTAGGTTAGGTTAGTTCATGTCAGAAAATTTTAACATTTTTCAATTTTTTTTCCTCTTATTTCCTCGCGATAAAACCCATACCATTGTGTTCTTCTCATCGTCCCCTTTCGATTGATATGCCACTCCCCCTGGTGGGCGTTATCCCAAATAAACTGCTCCTGAACCAGAATCTAGTGTATCAGCAGAACCACCTATATTCGGAGGGCAAATTTGAAATACGTCAAAATACCCCGAATGTCTCAATTCATTGAGTAAAGATTCTTGATCCTTTGCACAAGGAAAGGCGCTCGTCACAACGGTCAGAAACGTTTTATTCTCGCATTTCAGGATATCCCAGCAGTGCTTTAAACTTGCAACTTGAGTATCTCGAGAACTTAAAGCGTGAGAATGTCGTGCCTATAACAATTTAATCTTTATTATAGGATGCATCCTAATCTTACAAGACATAATAACTAATTAACAATTTAAATTTCCAGTGCCAAAAATATTAATAAAATTCAAATCTGCATAAATTGATAAAAATTTCATCAACGAGGTCCAATCACTCATTAAATCAGCCCGTGGCAACTACAAACCATACACAGGAATATAATCTCAGAAAAAAAAAGTCTGTATTCCTGAAGATGACTATCAATGTAAGCGAAATGTTGAGGAGAAATCAAACAGATCAACAGTTTTGTTGAAGACAATACAATGTTTCAACAAAAGAAACCATTTTATTACTCTTTATATTGTTATAGTTAATAAAATGCTTTCAAATAATTTGAAAAAATCTAATTCATGATGTGATTTAACTCATTATAACAATTAAGTCAAAACAAATGTTTGGAATTTTTGGGTGAAATATTAATATCACTATAAGAACAAAAGCTTTCACAACCGGAGTCATGATTAAAGACAATAAACTCCGAGGTAGTGGGCAGTAGTCGAATGGAATCTGAAGTACCAAACTTTTTGTCTGCCACAGTACTTCAAGTTGAATTCGAATCACGGCCCACTAGGTTAGATTTTGTTCCCTTTATCATCATTGTTGTATACAATTCACAATTAATATCTGTTTGATTTCTTTCATGTTGACAAATTACAATATGATTTATATAGGGTGGTCCATCGAAAACATACGAAGCTAACCTTTCAACTCTATAAATAGAACTGTCAATCTCAAATTTTGAAAAATAGAAATGGGGTTAAATGATACCTCTCTGAACGAAAAAATTACTACTTCGTTTTTGGAAATTGATTTGCTCTTTAAAAAAATAGGAATCTCTGAAATGTCAACAATACGTTTTTCGAAGAATGCAAAAATTCAATGGAATTTATTTAAAAACTTGTCACATTAATGCTAGAAATGCTCACATATTAGTCAGTGAGCATACTTGAAAACTGGCTATAAATCAAATCATCTAAATGAACAATTCGTTCAGGCCAGTCTCTTCTCTTCTTGATATTAGCCAGGGGAGTAATTTTCTGATAGGTTTCAGTCCATAAACCTACTGTGTGGTAAGTGAAGACTGGCCTGAACGAATTGTTCCTTAAGATGATTTGCTACAAATGTTGCCCGTTAACCTTCATACAATAATACAGGTTACTTTTAAACCGTTGAACATTTTGGAGCGCCAGCTGTGTCACTTCACGAAATATATTCAGTTATAAACATCTGGTTTTTTTAAGTATAATAGTATATAAATATTTTGTCCTCACAAAATGTGTATAATTATTAAAANGGGAATGATCAGAATAGTACTTATCTATTTATATATATAGAGATTATTTTATTGAGTAATATTTTCTCTGGCAGGTATGAATTTCGGTGCATTTTCTATGGACCACCATGAAACTATCTCTCAACACACCTGTCGACACATACACAATGGAAGACATTGAATTTCTTACATTCTAGTAATAAGTTAGGCAAATTTATTTTTAAAATTTCATCAATATTAAAGAATTTTTCTATTATAGTACCGTTGAGCATTATTTCCACAATTACTTCCGTAATTTTTAGATTCAATTTTCAGTACAGTTACATATGTATACACTTACTTCAATATCACTCATAAAGCATCACCAATTTTGCAACAGTTTAAATGTAGAAATCAACAAACATTTAAATAGATCTATTAAGTACATTTTCTCACTCATTTTTTCAGATCCACCTTTTGCACAAACTTACATTCGTTTCCTAATACTAATATATTTTTAAAAAACATATAAAAAAGTGATTACAATAAATTAAAAACAAAAAAAGTTTAGGTAAAAATGGAAATTCAAAATATATGTATATATATAAAGCATCACTGATAATTTGTGTTACATAGCTGTTCGACTAGAACTTATTCCTCGTGCAGGAAGAGAATTGCTTTTGCCAGGAAGTTCCTTGGCATGAGAGTGAGCCACAACTATGTTTAGACATTGTACCCACTCTTCAGCGTTCTTACCATCTTTAGGTTTCAGAATTAACGTTTGATTTTCCGTGAAGATTTCGAAAGCTTTCGGAATGTTCCTTGCTCCTCTTGATACTTTAACTGATCTAATTTGATTAACATCAATAGATTCACCTCCGCTCTGAAAGAAAAATGTAATCAAAGGGGTAAGTTATAAACACTTCGAAAGGCTAGAAAACATTTCAAAAATATCTTGACATTTTCTTCAAGCGATTTTTTTTGTACCTTGGGAGCTGTCTGACTTGTCCATTTAGTCCAAGTCTCCAGAAAACACTGCAGCCTTTTGGGCTCATTGCGTTTATTCTCCCATCTTCTCATGACACCCATTCCATCAGTCTCGTTCCCTGTACTAGTTTGTACAGGTTCCGTGTTGGATGTTCGTCATATTCTTCTGGGCGTAATTTTGTACTTGCTGTTTCAGTGCCTCGCATTCACATAAGATGTGTAGAGCTGTTTCTGTCCCTTCGTTGCATTAATCTGCAGCCGAGATCTCCGTTGTACAGCCCCATTTTATTCAGGTGTCCGGACAATGACCGGTTAGTAACCCTGTTATTATTCTGAGCCGGTCCCTACTATATTGAAGTAGTTCTTCGGTTCTTTTCTCGGACGGTTCCCT